GGCTGTGTGGCCGTGTTCTGGAAGTTTTGTTTCCTAACGTTCAGAGTGCAGGAGCACAGACAGGAGCAGTCCTGGGCACAGAGAGAACTGCTCCTGTCTGTGCTCCTGCACTCTGAACGTTAGGAAACAAAACTTCCAGAACACGGCCACACAGCCCGGGAGACCCACACCAGCTATGTACTAACTTGTTGGCTATTCCATGTTGGATACATGTTTACTCTTAGAAAAGCCAGAGGCCATAAAAAAGAGGCACGTGAGGTGGGAGGGAAATAAAATGGAAATACAAAGATTCCTCTTAATGACTGTAAGTGGCTTAGTGTGTCATGCAGACAAACTTTTACTAATCCATGGCTTAATCATAGTTTACTGAATAAGGCACAGCCTTTGAGTTCACAATTATGCTAAGCCACCAACTATGAATTACAAGGCACACAGTTTAATTCATCAACATGCTAAACTGAAACAAACAAGCAAATCATACTACATTTAGCAGAAGGTGTAGACACATCAGTATCTTTCACTGAGGACAGTCTAGAAGAAAAGAGAGCTTATTTAAACAATAAATGAACACTACTGAATCAAACTGTTCTCAAACTTACCAGTGTGTGTTCTTACAAATGCAAAACAGGATCTAGGCTAAAGTAAGAAAATGATGAACAAAGTAGTAGGTAGACAGCCTCTATTCCAACACCTAGCTGACCTTGGCTGATCTCAAAAAGCTAAGCAAGGTCAGACCTATTTAATACATGGATGGGAGATCACCAGAAAATGCTCAACTGGAAAGGTGAACCAATAAATCCTGGAAGAATGGCAAGCTGCTACCATAGTATTGCCATAAAATCTTACACAAGTATGTGCATAAAGTTGCCAGGAGTGGAACTTAACTGTAGGAAGACATTACGTAGCAGGCAGATATGGATAATCCCTCCAGAATTCTATGTAATTAATAATTCACCCCCATCTGCCCCCTTAATGCTATAGTGCAGTGTTTCTCAACCTCAGCAACTTTAAGATGTGTGGACTTCAATTCCCAGAATTCTGCTATAGTTTAACATTCAGGACACAGGATAGGCTGAGACTGAAATAGGGTTAGCCACTGCTTTAGAATAAGCCCAATAATCATGAGATAACAGGGCCTCAGTTGTTTTTCTCTTGAGATCTGTCTTACTTTTATGAGCAAAACCAAGTAAGTAGGCACACAGTTTTCTAAGTTGTTTGCAAAAGTATTTAACTGAGCATTAAAGGGATGAATTAATATGTATCAATGCTTGATTTTTTTTTCAAATGTCAACTGAGTTATTTCTAAACAATGGACACCAAATAGGAAGCTTATAGGCAATAATAAATCTTACAAGCAGAATGCATGTTAGAAAAATAATATTGCCCAAGAAGTCAAATAAAATTTATTTTTAGACTGCAGGAGATGGGCCCTCAGTGGCAAAATCTCTGTTAGTCTTCAGTGGCAGAAACCCTCGAAATGATACATTTTCCTCTTTCTAAGTTTGCCAAAGCATCTTGGCTCCAAACTTGTGTGCTGTGGTGTAGTGTGTGTGTATGTGTGTGTATATATGTGTGAGTGTGTATTGCTGCTGCATCCATTTCCAGATGTGGCTTTGGGTCCAGAGAGATCAATTCCAAAATCCTCATGCAATTTATTCTGCAGAAACTCCAATGCATACAATCTGTCAGGTTCTGTTTCAGAACTGCAACTTAACTGAATGGCCAAGTTCACATATAAAGTATGGGACAAAGCATAAAACGTAATTCAAGATTATGGCTGGACAATGTCTTTAACTTTAGTCTGTCTTTTTTGTTTTCTACATTTGTGACTGTCCGAGCTAATCTACTTTCAGAGCAGTTTATGCGTATGAAAACAGAATGAGCTGGCTGTTCACTTTGTTAGCATCTCTGGTTGACTATTTATGAAAACCAGATTTTATATGGATTTGTATTATTAATTCTCTCTACCATTTTCCTAAGGCCAAATCATTATTTTTTTCTTCCTGTTTTCTCTTGAAACAGGCCTGGAGGACAAAACTCTTGCTGTCTTACAGACTAAACTTTCAATAAATAATCCACAATGTAGGTATGAATAGCAGCAAAGAATAGTTTAGTCATCTAAGTTAGTGAGCCACACAAATGCAGGTAACATTTATTAAGGCTCAAAACAAATGGTTGTGATAACTTTAGCACTGATATTATTGGACGGCAGACTAGTAAAGCTGAACATTTTTGTAATTTAAATGCCTAGTCCAGTGTTTCTCAACCTTGGCAGTTTTCAGATGTGTGGACTTCAACTCCCAGAATTCTCCAGCTAGCATGGCTGGCTGGGGAATTCTGGGAGTTGAAGTCCACACATCTGAAAGCTGCAAGTTTGAGAAATACTGGACTAGTCAATTAGTAATTTTCCTGGAAATAAAACATGAAAACATGATGTAGAGTAATGGACAATTTGTCTATCACAATCCTTTAAATTAGACAAGACAGTTACACACATTGCTCCTCCTATAACATTGTTCTGGTTCTGAACAGGCAGCATAAAGAAGAGCACCTGGTGTGAGACCAGATTTGGCCCCACAATTTCCAGGAGCTGATCCTTAAATATTACATGCAGTACACAGAGTTGAAAAATACCATGTCTGTTGTTATGGAGCAGTGTCAATGACACCCGCTCACTCTTCTTCATAAAAACAGGCCTCACTGTAGGTATTTGGACCAAGTGTAGTCCATTTACATTTTATTTATTACTGCTTTTATATTCTGCTACATACATATTTGTTAGATCTCCTCTAACAATCATGGATCTACAAAAAGATTTTGTTGAAATAGAAGAACAGAATACAGCAAAGAGAAGGAAACACCTCAGTATCAAATGGACTTCAGATTTACACACAGCTGCTGCTCAGAAGCACCTTTCAGATATTGGAACATACACATGAAAGGCTGGAGTTTGATGTGATGTCACGACACACATTTCATTATCATGGTTTGTTAACTGGCAGCTATGGTATTTCAATACATTCCTTCTTGACTACAACAATTGTTGCTTTTGCAGATTTGGGAAAGGAGAAAACAAATAGGTTTTTTTTCCTGCACTTGTTAAAAGATTCTTCTGGTGAGTATTCTGCAACTTATTTTGCATGGATGCAAACCATCAACTCCTTACATAACCATGATAGCAGTCTTCCTCAACATCTGGAAGTTATATTGCCATTTGGACATGCTTGCTGAAACTTTTAGGAAGTGTGGTCCCAACACTTCTGGAGGATACCAGGTGCATAATATTAAGGCAAACTGGTAATCTCAAATGATAGAATATCCCTATCCTAGTTACTATTTTTAAACTTTTATTGCACTATTTCTCAGAGGGACTTAAACGATAGATGCCGGATCTTAAATATGGATTTTACTTTTTCGTTCATCAATGTATATGTTTTTTCAAGATTAATCCTGTTTGTCATACTTCCCAGATTTCAGGGTAATTTGTTCACCCTTTACAAACATCCATCACCACTGAGGAAATGAGGACTCAAGTTTAAACTTTTTGGTTTTTAACTATCACTCATCTTCAGTCTCCTATCACTGCCCCAAACTTCCTCCAAAAAACTTAGTATGAACAACTAATATTCTGAATAACATTAATTTACATGTCCTGTATGATAAATAACCTTTCCAAGCATAATGAACTGGAATAAACAGTAGGAAATGTTTTTCATTAAAATGGGACTGTTGGGGATGCTTTTAAAATGAGAGTGAAGTATAAAAAATCAGTGTTCCAACTAAGGTGGATCTGCAAAATTCCACTGAAATGTCATTCTTGTCCTCTGTGGAAAACTGATGTAACAAAGAAGACATTTTTACCTGCAAGAATCTTGCCCAAATCCACCTCATGCTCCTTCCCCTCCCCCAAAGGTATCCGTCAAGTTTCTACAGGATGGAATTTTGCTATGCTGTTTTAACATAAATCTGGCCACAGCTTTAATGGAATTTGAAACCAAAAAGCCTTAATAAATAAATATTATGATAAGAATATGAAAGCAATGCACACAGTGAAGCTAATTGGAAGCAAAACCCAAGCATTCCTTTCTCAACTAAAATCATAAAGCTTTACATGAAGCTAGTTCCTCTTTAGAGGGCCTGTAAGGAAAAAGAAATAAAACCAAAACACTCTGCATTTTTTCAGTCTTGCTTCCCATTTATTGTAAAAAACCAGATTCTAATTTGTTAAAATGAATACTGCTAAAGAAGTAACAAATAATCTTAAAACTCTCATCACTTTATAAAAGAAACAGTACAATCTACAAAGCTAAAAGATTATCATTTTCGTTAACCTATTTGTATTACACATTGTCCTCTTTATATCACAATGATATGACATGTTGCTGTTACAGGAAGGGGAAGCATCTAAACCAATTGTGTGGATTTGCATATCTGATTTTAAATGGAACAGGTAAGATAATCAGATAGCCAAGCTGTTTCAAGATAAATTAAGTTAAAACACATATCTTTGCCAAGAATCTTTGCATCTAACATCTGAAGTTGCATTACATGTAAATTCTTATCCCACAAAAACAGTCCTGCAAGTCTTATGTCCCACCTTAATTTCAACAGTAATTGTTTTTAAAAGTATTATCAACCTTGTAAAAAAGTAGCAATCGGACCAGAGGTTACAGATAACAACACTCTGATTTCTAGCTGTGAAGGAGAATTCATATTCCCACAACCATTCCTTCTACCTCCTTATCCTTAAAATCAGTTCAAAGAATAGATTTCTTTAAAAACAACAACAATCTTTGAAAGATTATACGGAAAGGTTTGCATTCAACAATTAAAGGATATATTTTTGCCAGGCACCAAGTTAACTAATCTCACGGACAAAAACCAACATTTAAAAAGTAGACGAATAGTTCCGCGCCTGTGTGTGTGCGCTCGCGCATAAATAGAGAAATGCCGAGTGTCCGTCTAGAAGAAGATCGGGGCTGGGTTGGGGTTCTCCTTACCTTGACTAGCTTTAGCCATGATGTTGCCAATGGAGAGAACCAGGCACACTCCAAGGATCTCCAAGGCCCCCATTCCAACCGATGCGTGTGTGCAGAAAGGTTGTGCCAAGAAGGGGGAAGTTTTCTCTGATGCTTTAAAGCCTCACAGAGCGCACGCAAATTTTAACGGAAAAAAATCCCACAAAACAAAGGAACTGTTTTTCTGGTGGTGTATGAAAGCGGCTACTGGAGAAAGGATGGCCAAATTGCTCGGGGTTTAGTCTCGTTTCTCTGATGCTACTAACACAGGAAGGGAGGGAGAGAAACCCGCGGAATCTTTGAGCGGACCTGAACGTCCTCCTTTCAGTTGCCTCTTTTTTATTCAAGGAGGAACGTAGCCAGCTGTAGTTTTGTTAGAGCGGCAGATTTTTTAAGTGCCGTGGTCCAATGCTGAAGACCTGTAAAGGTCCATCCAAGCAACGCCCTTTTTCTTTTCTCTCTTTCTTTCTATTTGCCTTTGCTTCGCCTGCTCCTTCTTCACTCCCTCCCACCCGTCCGGGTTCTGTTCAGCTCTCCCTGCAGGAATTTACAGTCTGCCACTGGGGGAGTAGGGCCAGTAGCCATGGAGACCGCTTCCCTGGGAGCAAGGAGGTCAGGCAAGAGACCATGTGCAATCAATGGATCAATGCAAACTCCCGGGCGAGCTCCAGACCCAACAGCCCCTTTGCCGGGCGAAGAAGGAAAGGGGAGGGGCATGAGAAAGGGGATTGTGTTCAGAAAAGAGTATTAAGAAGGAAGGGGGATGAGAGAGAGAGAGAGAGAGAGAGAGAAGCCAGAGGAACCAGCTTGCAGATGCCATGACCTGCAACACTTAAAAAAAAAAAAAACTTTTTGGTGCTTGGTCTGAAGGCAGAGACGCACTCGCAGGATCAATGCAAACTGCAGATCAAAGCGCTTTCTCTGTCCCCACTCTTTGGCGGAGGGGGATGGGTGAAAGAAAGAAATGAAAAAAACCTCTCTAATCACCAAGGATCTTTGCAGCGTTATACCAACCTCGTCTCGAATGAGCCCCTGGCGATTTTTCTGTCATCTTGCTTCCTCTGGACCCGGGCGGATTTTTACTCCCTGGTTGTCTTGGTGAAGAGCAGTCTGTGTTGTCAAATAAATCATCTCATAAAGCAAATGCTCTCTAGGAAGGTAATAGGGAGTAAAGTTCTGGCCCGTTCTCGGCCTTTCCACGCGCTCGGCTTAGGGAATGTGTGAAGAGAAAGAGCGTCTCTAAGCATGAACAGAATGCTCACGACGCCCCTCCAATCATGAACGGCACCCTCGCCCTGCATGGCTCGGATTGGGCTGCCAAGAGGAGTTTTAGTAAAATGGGAAAATACCAGAAAAATCCGGCGAAGTTACATTTCAGCAGATTTCAGCCCTGCACCTCTCGGTATCAATTAATCCTGATACCCCTCTTTCGTCAACAGGCTGCTCCCCTCCATACTGGCCATCAGAAAGGGAAACCAGAGGGGTTGTCCCGGGGTTGGGGGGAGGGTTTGAGGGAAACTTTGCCTCCAAGGAAGAAAAGTTCGTTTCTTCACACAGACTGCTAAAATTGCCTCTGAATCTCTCTTTGTTTGAATGGGACAGGGCAGAATCTGGGGAAATCATTTTAAACTGGCAGCAAATGTAGTTTTTGTGTTTAACATTTAAAAATGCACAAAAATAATTTTTGAGCATATATGATGCCCTGGCTGCGTGTCACATAACATCTTAAGCTGTAAAGTATGATTTATAATGCTAAACAAAAACCAAACAACCCAATTATGTCTTAGTGCTAACCATGATTTCAGCCCTTAAATTAGGGCTACTAAATCTAGACTACAAAAATGTAGAACACTTTTAGATGCAACAAGGAGTTTTCTGTACCTCTTTGCTGTCATCTAGTGGTCTTCTGGATTGTTGCAGTTCAGTTCTGGTGATGATGATAATGATGTACCATATATATAGATTTTCTCCAGGATTTGTCCTCAACCTGGTCCTTCAGGTCTTCCAATGACATCCATCACCACTATAACTGAGTCCATCCATCTTGCTGCTGATTGTACTTTCTCTTTTTCCAAGCCTCATAGACTTCTCAAGAGAGCTAAGTCTTCACTTAATGTGTCCAAAATATGATTGATTTGTACCTGGTAATTTGTGAGTCAAGTGAAAACTCTGAATTGACTTGTTCTATGACCAATTCTGATAATCATATTTCAAATCAGAGCTGTCAAATATATTAGCCCTTATTATATTTGGGAAGTGCTTACTAGAGTTTCTAGAGTTACTGTTTAGATATGGAAATAGTTCTACCTGTGATTCCCCAGGATGTAGCAAAGACAGTATGTATAAATTGTGTGTAAGGCTTATACAATATTAAAACATCTAATTTTTAAACTTTAAAAAATCAATGTTTTATTGAATAAAGTAGAAATGGTTATTTAATTGTAGAATCAGCTGGAATTGATACTTGATGCTGTAATATACCTGAAATTAACACCCTTGCCTTAAATTATTGCTATGAAAACTACCACTAAACATGAGAGCACCCATGGTAAAAAGAAGGGATAATTAGGAGAGAATGAGGTTAGCCATGCACCATGCAGAGCCATACAGACTGAATCACCAGGTGTCTTGAGACTCCAGTTCCCTACTAATTCATTTCTGGAGGATATCAGGCTGGGGCAGGGTGATATAGAAAAGTTAGTTCAATCAAAGTGCCATAGAAGCTATAGTAAGTAGATAAATGGCAGCATAAACCTGCTTTTTAATTTATTATTGTTGACTTTTGTGATATTTTTATTCTCAAGGAGAAAAGTTTGTGTAATTTTCTGTCCTTCATACCAAAATAACATGGGTAGATTTGGCTATAGTATTACACATTCCATGACTGAAAGAAAACTGTATTATTTATTCTTTTAGATAGTGAAATATCTTGAGCTGATCCTGTCCATATTTTCATATTGCCTTGTTTTTCAAACTGCAGAGTCTAGCAGAGAAATAGTACATGATTAGACTGTTATTTTCCAGTGTTCCTTCTGGTTCACAGTTTCTTGTGTTCCCTTTTATACAACAAAGAATTCTGAAAATGACTTAAGGATAAATAATCTTGTGCACTATGTAAGGACCAACCCTAACAACACAAAAGAGAGTGCAAGCTTATGAGGTCTCCATAACTCTTCATCAGACAGCAAACTATAATTTCATTGAAGTAGTAAATCTGAGCTATTCAATGTCAGATAGCAAATTAAAACTCATGCGTCTGAGTGGTCCACAAAACAGAATCTCTGCCTGCAAAAAATGAGTACCTAGTTTTACACAGCATAGTCTTACACACAGAAGTATTTTTTCTTTATGGCGATACATTCTTAGCTATTATCATCATTATTAGACTTTATATGCCCCCAATTTCCATGTGAATTTCCACTGATAATCTGAAGTGGCCCATCACTACAAGGATACACTTTTTACTGTATTATGTGATCTACTGAATGATTAAGTCAGACCCAATTCCATTTTCCCCAAGATCCCTTATCTCATGCAAGGACTAGTTCTTAATAATTCATTTCTTTATACATAGCAAATTTTCAGCTATTCAGCTCTCCCAGCTGTATACAAAATGCCAGCACCTATGAGCTCACCTGTGACAATCTGTTACACTGAAAATATCTAAAAGACTTCTTCAGTAAAGACTTGTCCATGTACTAAATTCTATAGGGGAGGCTTTGTTCTGAGATGTGTTTGGCAGTCTTACCAGAAGTTGTGGCACATCTCTCTTCCCTAATTGTTGGTTTTTTGCACAATGGTGAAAGCCTTCTTCTTTCTACCGCCTTTGGTTTATTGGAGTAGCCATTCGTCTGCCCTTCAATATACTTTCATAGTTCAATAGTCTATTTTAGCTGACTGCTTTTTTCCTTCTCATTTTGCTATTTAAACAATGCTTATTTTATTGTATTGTATTTTTTAATATGGAAGATTGGGATACATAGTTTTAGTAGAAATAGTAAATAAATCAACAAATATTGTGGTATACCAGATTGAGGCCAGGGAGTCTGCAAAACCATATTTCTGGGAAGTTTGAAATTCCATACAGTATTTAAAGGTGCCATTCAGTAAGGTATAACAAAGAGGCTTATAGATAGCTAATTTGGAGGGTTGTGTTTCACAGTTATCAGAACTATGATAGAACTATGTCCTGCTGCTGAATTAAATGGGATCAGTTGTTTAATCAGATAGAATAAGGATGAACTGCAGGAACCTATAAAACAAAGCAACCAGACTACAGATCAATTATATGGATTTTGTTGCCACTACAATCCACATGAAATTAGAATTCTGACCTCAGAAAGTTGAAAATCATGTGCTGATTGCCTCAAGATGTAGCTTTAAACTCCCAGCTGACTTCAGTTCTTTAGAATCAGTAGCAAGGCAGGAAGAATCAATAGCAGGAAGGAGTTCAAGGACCTGAGAGATGTGGAAAAACAAAGGTAGGATGGAGACAGAAATAGCAGCAGAAAAACAAAATGGGTTTTTAGAAACAGAATAAGATTATCTCTAGAAGAGTGGGAGAGGGTCTGTTCTGAGATACTTTTTACATAAAGTTGCACAAATCAATTATCTTCAACTTTATTGATCACATCAATTGTTACATGGTTCTAATGCTAATATTAATACTGTATATGCAGAGACTTGCATTATGTCTGGAAGCCCATGTATAAAAGTTCCAGAACCAAAGTCAAACAAACCTATGGATTAGTCATCTTTATTCTTGGGTAACAATATGGAACCTTTCCAGATGCAATGCTAATAATATTCCTATCTAGCATTCTAAAATTAGCTGTGCAGTAACTTGTCCCAACTCAATGGATTATTTAACTGTGCTGCAGGATATAGAACAGAGGAGGTGTGGAGCATAACCACGTTAGGAATCCTTACTTAAGGCCTTTTGGCTCTGGTGCCCTGGCTAAGGAATCCCATTCCCAGTGAAAGCTTTCTTCATTATTTTATAGATGTCAGGTTTTATTTTCTCCAGGTTCTTCATTTATCACGTAATAGCATGTATCTGATCTTTTTAGCTTCATGTTTGACAATGTCACCGGAATTACATTAAATGGTTGGGAATCATCTTGTCACCCTGGAGTTAACTTTAATAAATAAAATGATGTGTTTATCCCTCTCATACCAACACAATTTTGGGATTTGAGATGACTGGGCACTGAGTCTGAACAGAAGAACAGTGTCTCACGCTAGAATGAACAGAAAGACCGTCAGATATGGTAGGGTTAGGTTTTACAATTTGAGGTAAATAAAGCAGTACATATGGCAAACTAAGAATGGTCACAGAAGGGAGGAAATCCTGTGGATGTCCAGAATTAACAATTATCTAAGTACAACATTGTTACCTCAAAGAATGCTTTCTCCTGTATGTACCTACCCAGACCTTAAGATCTTCTAATGAGGCCTCCTCCAGGTGTCCCCACCAAAGGAGGTGAGATGGATCTCTATAAAGGAGAGATCCTTTTCTTTGGTGGTACCCCATTTATGAATGCCCTCTCCAGAGAGGCTCAATTGGCACCCACATTAGTATCATTTTAGTGCCAGGTGAAGACTTTCTATTTTCCCAGGCTTTTAAAATT